TTGAGTTGAATCAACTTGACAGCAGTGAGTTTGGTTGTTTTTTTGGTTTGTTTTACGAGGTGCACAATAACACTAGAGAGGTCCACACTCCTTAGAACAGCCATAAGAGATCCAGGGCAGCATTTGCCTGGGTAGAAAACTCAGAAGGCAGGAAGGGACAAGGAGGACTAAGGGAAATGGTAACCACAGGGAGGAGATGGGGACGGCAATCAGTGTCATGAAACAAAATGGATCTGAACTGCTGAATGGAAAACCAATTTGTTCTGTAAACTTTCACCCCAATCACAATAAAAAGTTTTAACAAACAAACAAAAGAGCAAGACCACCCTAGACCAGCCAGCCTCCAAGCGACCCACCAGCAATGACACACCTATGACTGAGCCCAGCCAAGCCTGAGCACACCTGGACCAGATCAGCAAAACTGTCTGCCTGTCGAGGGACTCCTGAACCGTGGACTTACACAGCCACCTCTTCCTGATTCACAAAAAGACATGACAGAGATGGGCTTCCCTGCTTGGATCCAATATGGCAGTCAATCACAGCCCTATTGGTCTGCAGGGAACTCCTGGGAGGAGCCCAGGAATCCCGCCCTGACCCATGCCCAGTCTTTCCACAACAGGCCTCTGAATTTGGAAAGATTAGTGCCAGGGCCTTCAAGGGCTCCGGAGCCCTTGGTGGGGGTGCTGGATCCACAAAACATCATAGTCGAGGGCACTGAGCCAGGCCCTGCCCGGCTGCCCACCTACCTGGGTTGCCGAGGGCCATGGAGTCATAGATGAGCTTGCAGGTTTTGAGTAGGATGGCGATCTTCTTCTCGGGCGAGTAGGCCTTGTGCATGCTGCTGAACTTCTGCAGGATCTTCTCCATGATGGGCACCTCCGGCACGCTGGTCGTCACGCCCAGGTCGGTGGTGGTGGTGGCCAGGACCACCAGCTGGTTCTCCTTGAGCTGCTGCAGCGAGCCGTCCTTGCTGTGGATCTCATGCAGACAGGCGTTGATGGCTTCTTTCAGGGGTTTCAGGACACACTTGTACAAGGCCGACTCCACAATTGCTTCTGTAGGGGCGAGAGTGGGAGGTGAGGAGGCCAGCCACAGGGATCTTGCCTTGGCCCTGCCGCCCAGCAGTGCTGCCACCACTGCTGGTCCCTGGAAACACGCGCTCCCAGCCCTGCCAGTCTCACCCGCAGCTCTGACATGTAAGACAGCGTCACACACGCAACAGAAAGCCACACTGTAAAGATGCTGGCACAGGAGTCTCCTGGGACTGATACTAACTGGTCATTGTATCCTAATGCCTTACGGGCCTGGCACAGAGTGCGTCCACACAGGGTGCCTCAGCACAGCACTCCAGAGGGCACCATTTTCACTGCAGTTGTGCAGTGTACAACCTGTGCAGCTGGACATGGAGAGCCTGGGTACCCAGTAAATGTTTGGTGGAGCTAGTCTTTTTTTTTTTTTTTTTTTTCTTTTTTAAATTTTTATTTTGATTTGGGTGAAATTTAGAGAGCAAATTAATCTTCCATACATCAGTTCATACATATTTTGTCTCAATTCCCCACAATGTAACAGCTCTCTTCCCACTTCCTTCCTAGAGTTCTCTCTTCCCTGTGTCCTTTCCTCCCATGTACTCCTACCGATTGATCGCTCCAAGTAGTGTATCTACCTGATGTAAATGTTCAGCCCATATGCCTGTCTATTATTTGGCTGGAAGCCATAGGAGTGAGTTCAGTTCCAGACCTGAAGGGCAGCTAGGGGCCACAGTGTCAGGGGTCCCACTAGGCTCTATCAGACCAGCAAACCTGGTCTTTTTTTTTTTTCTTTTTTATGATTTTGAGTTTTGTTCCACATTGTTCTCCCACCCTATCCAGGATCTCCTACACAGATCCCCCTCTGGGTGGTTGACAGTGGTAGCCAGGCACCATCTAGTTCTTCTGGTCTCAGGGTCCTAAAGGCTGAGGATCGTATGGTCTCCCAGTCCCTTGGACTCATTGTTTCCATGAGTCTTTGGTATCCCTCACTTTGCTTTTGGTGGAGCTATTCTTGATGCCTCTCTGTCTTTCCAATTCACTTGACTCTGGTCTCAAAATTCACCACACCCAGAATCTGACTTTGCTCCAATTCCACGCTACCCCTTGGACCTGAACTGCCATCATCTCTCACCTCTTGTGTGGGGCCTGATTGTCCATTCCCAACACAGCAGCCAGCATACTCCTGGTATAACATGCTTGGTCACGACACTCCTCTGCTCAGAACCTCCCAGTGCCCCATCTCACATGTGGTAAAAGCCGGGCTTCCCCATGACCTCGGACCCCTGGACCCGGTTCTGTGCCCTCTCTGACTCACTGTCTTGTCCACTCCCTGTGCTCACCCTCCTTGGGCCGCTGTGTCCTACTTGCCACTACTGCAGCCTGCTGGACTGTCCCTGCCTCAGGGCCTTGGACTTGCCACATCCTTTGCCTGGAGCAGTCACCTCCTAAGTACCCGTGTAGAACGTTCCTGTACCATTCAGATGTCATGTTATCTGAGAGGCCATCTGTCCTTACCCATCAAGTGAAATGGGAGTTAGTGAGCTTTGTGCTCACTGCCACATACATGTTGTCATGCCCACTACAGGGCCTACTAAGGAGCCCTGGTGATGCAGTGGGTGAAGCACTCAGGTGCTAGCCCACCAGCTACTCCATGTGAGAAAGATGATGTGGTCTGCTCCCATAAAGATGACAGCCTTGGAAACCCATTGGGGCAGTTCTACTCTGTCCTATAGGGTTGCTATGAGTTGGGATTGGGTGTACAGGACCTACAGAGGCTCTGGTGTGTTGAGGGGCATTACACAGCTAGCTGGAGGCTGAAGGAGGATTTGAACCCACGCCTACCTGACACCAAAGTGATGTTTGTCTGCTTTGCCTGACAGCTGGAGAATATGCTCAGGAAACCTCTTGGCCCTATCCTGTCTCCCAGGGGTGGGCCTGGGCTATGACTCTAATAAGGGCAGATCCTAAGCCATGTTCCTGCTGGGGCAGCATCTGAGCTGTCATATCTCTGACGGGCAGGGAAGATCTTGTGCTCCTTGGCTGAGTTTTGGTTGAGGCCCCGACGACCCTCCGTTGGGGCCGACACAAGTCTGGGTTGACGGCGGGTCCTGGCCTTCCTGGGTTCACATCCCACCGCCTTCCTCTTCCTTCTGCAGCTCATCCAGTCCTGCCCCTTCATCCAGGCCTGTCTCACATCCTCCCATCCCCTTGGAGCCTTTCACAGCTGGAGCTAGTGACCTGGGGATGGGGACCTGCGTCAACTCCCTGGGTTCCCCTGGCTGCTGTTTGACCTTGGCCAAGTCACTTCCCCTTCCAGGGCCTGCTTCCTCATCTGCAACAGGACAGGGCTGCAGCCCCTCCCCTCTCCCACCTCTGGGTTCCTTTGTCTCTGAGAGCCTCGGTGCCCTGGAAATGCCTCCTCTCTCCTGATGCCGACCCTCTGGGCCACATACTAGCCCTTGCTGGCCTTCCCGTGCCTTCTCTGCCTGATAAAATCAGGGCATCCCTGCGCATTCGCAGCTTCTGTCCAGCCTGTCCTGCGGTTCAGGCTCTCTCACTGTCTAGCTGGGCACCTGGACAGAGTTCTGAGTGCAAGGCAGAGCAGGAGAGTGGTTAGTTCACAGATAGTCAGCTTGTCTGGGTGTGAACCCCAGTTCTACCACCTGCTCTCTGCATGATCTGGGCCAGTTGTTATCGATCAAACTGTGTCCCCCAGAAGACCTGTTGAAAGCCTAACCACTAACCTGTGGATGTGATGCTATTGGGGAAGAGGGTCTTCTTTGTTATGGTGATGAGGTCATGGCATAGGGCAGGTGCTAACCCTCAGCTCTTCTGAGTTATAAAAAGAAAGACATGTGAGGACTGTCTACAAGGCAGGCCCAGGGCTACTGATGAGGAAGGAATCGACCCGGCCAAGACCCTGGTTTGGACTCCTAGCCTCCAGAGCTGTGAGACAATAATATCTACTCTTTCAAGCCCCAGCAGCAGAAGGCCATAAGATACTGGTGGTCCCTGGAGAATCCCAGTAGCCCCGCCCACAGAGTGGGGCTGGGGAGGTGCTATGACC